GAAGGTAAGAGATATACTAGGCTTCTTGTGATTTTTGTATGGGCTTAGCTCTGTTCACCTTGCTGAAATCTTTGTTTGCTGAAAAATCTTATTAAGATTTCATAATGTCTGGAAAATGTTGGAGTCAGTAGAGAACCAGACAAGTTCCAGAAGACAAAACACTGATAAGTATTATTTATATTTTCAATTTTAAGGGGAAGTACTAAAAAAAGTTTTGATGAAAAGAATGACCTGTGGATTTTGACTGCTGAGAAAAAAAATGCAGCTTTACACCTTACTATCTGTATGAGCTTAACAAAGTTATTGAGCGTCCCTGTTCTTTAGTTTCCTCATCTACAAGATGGAATATAATTCAATAAGTTATTGTAAAGGTTACACATAAAATGCTTAGAAGAATACCTAGCACATGATAATCTCTCCAAAATATATGAACTAGGTTAGAATGTCCATAATGCACTCAAAAAAATGCCTAATAAGTAGGGCATGTCAAAAACCATTGGTTGTTACAACATTACTCACAGCAACAAATATGTAAGTGGCTGGGCAAAAAAGAAATATATATATATAAATATATATATAAGCTTATGAATATATATAAATATATATAACATATATCTAATAAACTGTTTGACAATTCCATAATTATGGTCAAAAATGCCTCAGTCACGCACAGATGCCAAAATAGTATGTTTGAAAGATTCTTAACTCAGAAAAAGATGTGGTGATATTTCAGGACCAGGATGAAATGACTCCAAGTCATTTCAGACCAGACATATTTCCTGTTTGAGTAGAGTTTTGCTAGCCTCTGAAAGGGATTCTGTAGACTTAGCACAAATGGGTTTTATGAAATAATTTTGGCATCCTTGTACAATAATGGATAAATGCATATATAGAAGGCTTTGATGATACACACAGATGGGGAGCTAGACCCAAGGGAAATAAAATGAAAGCATATTCCTTTTCTCAAAGCCACTATAGTAGATTAGGAGAAATAGATGTTTATACAAGCATATGGAGTATAACACAGACCATAGTGATACAAGGGACAAAATTATCAGTTCTGTTTAAGTGATTGTGGAAGGTAAAGAGATCCCAGGGGAAGATATTTGAATGAATTTTGAAGCCTGGTTTCCCAACTTTATGTTATTAAAACTGCCAATCTTCAAAATGTATCTGGTCATTTTAATGAAAATAACGCTATCCATTTGTCACCAAAACAAAACTATCTGAAATACTGAAGCAATTGTTTTAATTCTAACTGAGGACATTGTTCTGATCCTTATGTGTTAGTTGAGATCATGTTTCCTGACTCTTGTTCCTCGGGTGGAGCATTCCCTCCCCTATACTTTATTGCTATATATATATATATATACACATATATATATATCAAATATCTTTGTTGTCTTTTCTGTGCTGTTCCTTTATTATGTATCACAAAATGGATTGACTTAGATGTAATAGAATTTACGTATTGTTAATTTTACATTATAGCATTAAGTTATGGACCATTGTGAGAAGAACAAACATGACTCAGGACTCTACCTCCTCTTTTGAGAAAGGCATCGGTTTATTTTTAATTGCACGTAGTATAGTTGCATCATGTTAGGCAGAATTATGACCTTGCTATTGTCTTTATTAGGAGATTAAACATGGCTTAAGGAGATGCCTACAGGTGGCAAGTTGAAAAGGAATAGACCTTGGATGGTTAATTTTATGTGTCAACTTCGATGGGCTAAAGATGCCCAGTTAGCTGATAACTTTTGGATGTTTCTGTGTGGGTATTACTGAAAACTATTGGCATTTAAATGAGTAGGCTGTGTAAACATTTGTCCTCATCAATGTGCATGGGCATCATCCAATCACCTGAGGCCCTGATTAGAACAACAAAAACAACAACAAAAAAACAAAAGGAGGAAGGCTGAATTCACTTTCTTCTTGAGTTGGAACATATATCTTCTCCTGCCCTTGTTTATTAAAACTTATGATTATGGAGCCTTTTGATTCCACAACTTATACCAGTGCCTCCACCCCAACCCTGGTTCTCAGGTTTCCAGACTTAGACTGAGTTACACTGATTCTCTGGGTCTCCATCACTGGGTTGGTCAGCCTCCATGATTTTGTGAACTAATTTCCATAGTGAATCTCCTCCCAAATATGTCACACATCTAAGAGGATCACTATTTCTATCTTTATCTCTATCTCTCAGTCTGTCTTACTGATTCTATTTCTCTGGATAACCCTGACTCCAGCACATTTCTGGGAAGAAAGTATCTTTGAGACAGAAGAAAAGTGCCTGACTCTCCCATTTTTTCCATATGGTGGAGGAGGCAGTGCAGCTTGGCCAACCAGCCCTCCCCTCTCACTTCCTTTTGCTCTCCCTTGAACCCCATATGATGCTGAAGGAGCTTTGTTAAGCTCCTTCAGTAGGGGAAAGAGCTGACCAATAACCTTCCACCTTGGTTTGTATTTCACTCTCTTATGACTTTGGTTATGCACTCCCTGAGAAATTTATAAATACTGAGACTGATAGAATTCAGTTTTCGAATCTATAAAACTAACAGCTACCTTTCAGACATGGTAATTTCACCATTCTGAAATAACATTGTTGATAAATACTCATCATCTAAGGTAGCTTCTCAACATTTGTGCTCAGAAAATGCATGGTTTTGCTACCAAAAATGTTTATTTGGAGTGGCTGAAGGCTTTGCCTGCAGGACTCTGTAATCCAGAGTACACAAGATAATGTTATGTCAACACCAACACTCCAATAAATTTGTGGTTCAAGTATTTGTTCACTCAACAGACAATGATGACTATTAGCCAAGCCCCATCAAACTCTGGACTCTAGCCATCCAGTTCCTTTCAGGGACTAGCCTGTCAGCCAAGAGGTACAATACTTTTACAGAGTAGGGAAGGAAGAGAAGGAAGATGAAGAGGCTATGTCTTCCACTCTAAGAAACTAAAACTCTCCAGTTCACCTACGAATAAATGAGCCCAACTCAGACTCTGTGTTGAGACAGCTAGGCGAGAAGCATGTTATTCCTCTGGTGCCCCTGGGCTGAAACAAACCTGGGTAGAAGTGATTGCCTTCTGTGCTGAAATCAAAGATTGTCACTTTGTTCATCCTATTGGAGAGATAAGGAAACCATTTTTAGTCTAATGGAGCCTGTCTGTTGAATTTTCATTTTCCTGCTGACAAACACTTCCTCGGTTCTTTGAAGCAGCCTACATAAACCTCTAGTATATTTTCCAAATAATACAGTAGACCTTCCCAATACTGTTGTGTGTCTTGGAGTGAGAGCACAATTATACTCTTTGGAACTCCTTAAAGTTGTTCGGTGATGTCAGAACCCAGGAGATTCAAGTAAAATGAGTGGAATAAAATGTAAGAATGGTGTTATCTAGAACATTTGGTGTGGACCTGAGACAACCTGCCTTAAGTTCAGCACTTAAAAAATAGTTTCTTTTTCCTAATAACACAATGTACTCTAAAAAGGAAATAAAACCACTTTATTTCCTTCATATTTCTCTAATTTTTCTTTACTACCAAGAAATTAAAAATGATATTTTTATGTTTATTTGTAATAAAATTCTCAAGTATAACTTTGCTGAGCAATAATTTTCTTCCCTCCTTCCTTGTCTCTCTCCCTTTTCTATTCTTTTTCCTTCATGCTCTCCCTCTCCCTTTTAATTTGGCTCTTGTTTTGTTAATCCTATGATGATGCTTTGGAGCTTCTTTTATTGTAAGTCCCCCATATAACTTTTCGACATATAAGAGTAAAACTAGATGTTAAAGTAGTATTCTTCCTAATTCAATTTCACCTGGCACAGTATGACTGGTACCCAGATATCAAAGTGAGATGAAGACAATTCCTTCCCCTGCCATATACAAAATTTTTACAAGGAACAAAAGTTATCTTCTTCTTCCTATTACCCACTTTTTGACACTTCAGCCAGATCAAAATGAGGCCAGACTGGTGACTAGAGACTGATGACAACATTCACAGAGAACTGGGGCTGTGATGTGAGCCATTACCCACTCCTTCTGCAGGAAGGCTGGGGAGCAATGGACCTCTCTAAACTCAAGCCTGATAAGGATATTTCAAGGGAAACCCGGAGAGCTTTGACATATGTGTCTTGATATTAGGAAGTTTGAAGAATTGATACCTGGCTCCCACCTGAAAAAGCTAAAACTGACAGTGGGCTAGAGTCTGACCTCACTTAAGAAATCTGCCATGAAAAGAAAGGCTGAAAACGGTATTGGAGTAGGAGGCTCTTGATACATTGAAGTGGGCTTCCATTCCTCAGTTTGGAGGCCACAGCATGTGTATATTTCTCTAGTGAATAGATAGAGACTTATAAGAGAGTCACTATCAGCAGAGTCACAGGCTAACCCTAGAATAGGCAAGGAATATACAAGTGCCAAGCATCATTTCTATTCCAAAGGAATTCTCAAATTGCTGACCTATCAGTCCATCATATTTTTACTTCTCCTCTCTATTAAAAAATGCCGTTCCCCTAAGCAAAATTGGTTCATTGGAATAGAACAAGAAGGCAGGAATTTCATCTCCACAATGTACATGTATGCTTCATCTAAGGAGTCTGTGCCATCAAGCACCCAAGACTCTCTCAGTTACAAGTTAACTGCCCTCTTCAGATGTTTAATCCACAGCATTGTGCCATGCCTGGTCAGCTCTGAGAAGGCAGAACAGAAGGCAAAAAATAGTCCAAGTCAGTGATGACTTTGATGTTAAGAATCGGTAGGGTGGAATAACTGAAGTGGGTGGAAGTCAGGAACTGTCTAATTCATGAGAAATGAGGGGAGCTGTGGCCAAAAGCTAACTGCGCCCAGCTCTCATTTGTGCCTAACACCAGCCAAGAAGTGTTTTTATAGTCAAGGCTTTCTCTGCTGTACCTGTCTTCTCTACATCACTAAGTCTAGTCTGAAACCTAAGGATGAATCACTTGCAGTCCAATTACTAACACGTTTTTATTATAGTTTAAAAATACAGACAAGGAAATGAAGCACACATTGTAAACAAGGGCTGAAATTATAACACCAAGAAAATGTTGATATCCTTTGCTGTTAGCCATCCCTCTACCTGCAGTGCAAAAACCTCTGCTTGCCCTGAGAAGCCATTGCTATGCTGGGTTTGGACTGTGGGTGTAATAATTTCACTCTCTCTCTTAGCCTATCTTTATTGTCACAGGAATGAGTCAGGATCAGAGAGGCATCGAAATAGCAGGAGAGTTTTATAAACAGTGTTTATAAACCAGCTGTCCAAAAGAAAAGCCCTAATTTGTAGTCTTTGTCATGTTTATTCCAATTCTCACACTGTAAATACTCCCACCACAGTCAAGATCAGTGATGACTGTATGTAATAACCAGAGTGCAAAATTTCTGAAAATTTAACAGTTGGATTATATGAATCAGTTCTGGCCCACTCCAGCATACTGCTGCTTATAATACAACAAAACTTAATTCTACCAAGTTTCTATAAATATATGTGACACAATTTAATTTCGTGAGAAGATATGCAAATACAAAAGTCTTTGTATCCAAGCCTTTGGTCTACAGCTACTTAGCAGATTTTAATAGTAGAAGAAATAGCTTATCATGACCCAAGCAGTTTTTATTGTACACAATACAAACATTTTAAGTTAGCTTTATAATTATATTAGTTAACATAATATGACTTTCCCCATTGTCCATAAATATTTTAAATTGATTGTAATATTACAATTGCAAATGTAGTATTATAGACCTTTCAACAAGAACATACAAATGCCTAATTTAACTGAGCCAAAAATGTGAATTAAGTGTTATTTATTATTTTTAGAGGTTGGCACATTTAATTGAGGTTGGCTCTTCAATGTGAGGAAGGGGATGTGGTTGGAGCGAGTTCTGATCAACACCCTGGAATTCCCTGCTCCAGGCAGAGCAGGGAAAATAAGATTGCCGGTAAAGGAAAGATCAGTTATGTCTTCACTTCACCCACCTTGGGCTAAAGGAGAATGCATCTCTTGAAAGTTGAACTAGCTAAATTTTATAGATGCATAACATGATAGCCTAAATACCAATTGTAAAGCTGAGATAATGTGAATATATAACAGCAGAAAGCCCATTTACTCACTAAGGCAAGATACCTATCTATTCCATCTGTGTCTATATTCTCACTACCAAAATTTTGCCAAAAATTCCTGCGCCCTTCGTTAAGTTGCCATGTGATATATGAATGCATTTTGCAAACTGAGGAAAGCCTGCTAAACATACGAAATCAATAAGTAGCATAATACAGCAATAGTAATGCCAATTTCTGGGCTTAAATTCAATGATTACTAGTGGTGACTTCGTTTACCAATTGGCAATGTTCAGAGACACAAACAGTGAAGCCACGGGTGAAGGTTCAGAATGATTCCTTTGACCAAATGTTTAATAAAACACCTTGCATCCTGAGTATGATGAAACCAGGGGACATTCCCAGAAAATTCTACTTCCCAGGACATTCCACTTCATTCTCTCTTCACTTCTGTACTAATAGTTCTCAAAGTGTTCTCTGTGTTCTAAAAGCACAACACCTAAAGCAAGGAATTGTTGTCACTTATGTGGCCACTTCACCAGTCTTACTATATTAAGAGGGTCTCAAGATGGAAGATGAGAGTATGGAAAAATAAAGTAAAGCAGCTTAAGAAAATAAGAATAAGGCCAGGCTACTGCCCTCCATTCTTTTGCAAACAAAATAAGGTGCCCATGGAAATAAAAAAAATTCATTTTTTCCACCCAGGGATTCAAAGTTTAGACAAAGAATCATTGAAGATTTTCTGTCCTCTTCCACTCCCACTCATTTTATCTTGAATTACTAAAGTATCACTACAGACCCAACCTCAGGTAACCAAAAACCTTTGCCCCTTTCTTTGACTCTCTTTCTGGAAAGCATGAAGCAAAATCTCACATGCAGAGGAGTTCTGTGTGTACTGATATGTACACCCAGACAAAGAATAAGCATCGACAATCTGCCCTCCTCCAACTCTTCCTGAACACCTCTGCATATGCTGAAGAGAATGAAGAGACCAAATCAAATCCTTAGAAGATGAACTGAACATTTGGCATTAACACAATCCCCCAGTATGTGTTATTTTTCAGAACCTGGTCTTCGCTGTTGAATGCCAAGTCAATTGCGTCTCCAGCATGCAAGTCATAAATCCCTCCCAAAGTCTGAATTTGAGAGTTGTTTGTTAGAATTTGTATAGGTTTTTTGTTTTTACGTAGCCACACTTCAAAAGGAGCTGCTCCCGCGTAGGTGCTATCAAAAGACACTTGGCCATAAGTTAAGTACAAGCCATTTTGAAGTATCTTCAGCTTCCAATCAGACATCTTATTCATGCAAGGAGGTTGAGGAGATGTCATTTGCCATTTTGAGGGTAGAGGTCCTATAAGAAATTTACAGGGGAGAAAAATGCAAAGCATATTTATTATTTCATCCTTTTCCTGATTGTAGCACATTCTTTTACCACTTGCCTGGTTTATACTATTTTTCTGAGCCACAATTCTAATGTTTTAAGCATCTATCCTTGTTTTAGACAGGTTGCAATTTCTAAGTTTGTCTCTTGCTAGGAGAGTGCTAAGGGGGTGGATTGAGAATAGAAAAATTAGTTAAATGGGTCTGTGTCTTTTGTCAACTAATATTTGTGGAAAGAGGAAGGGCAAAAGGGAGAGAGGAATTATACACTAGGATTGTGACAACTATAGTTGGCAATCAATGCTTTTCCATGCTTTTTTTGCTGTGTATCAGGGTAACACCTTCTCTAATCAATCAATATGGAATAGTGCTCCCCTGTCACTCCCTTTACCTTACTTTAGTTTTCTTCATAGGAGGGGTTAGCATTTAGCATATTATAAAGTTATTAGTTTCTATACTAAATCTAGCTGAATATAACATCTTTGAGAGCATCTGTCATGGCTTATATGTAGATGTCCCCCAAAGCCTCATGCCCTCATAGGTGGGGCTTTTTCAGAGGTGGCTGAATTTAGAATGTGTGATTGATTCATGGTGCAATGCTAGGCTTGAGGGCACTAGGATTAAGGGTGTGAGTTCTACCCGCCCTAAGTAAGCCTGGATAATATATAAGGGATAGAAAGGGTGGTGGTAGTCCCTTGCTTGCTTTGTTATCTTCTGCCCACCATGAACTTTTTCTCCTCTTCCTTGCTTGTCTACCACCCCACCCTGCCTTGGAGCCAGCCAACTATGGACTGAAACCTCTACAAAATGTGAGGTAAATAAACCTTTCCCCTTTTAACCTTGGGTGTCAAGTATTTTTGTCTCAGCAACGAGAGAAAAGTAATTAAGATAACATCTGTAGTTTGCTCATTGCTGTATTTTAAGCACCCCAAAATTTCTTGCACCTCCCATGTCCTCAATAACATTGTTTGTTTCTTTCTTGAGATGGGGGTAGAGGCTCACTATGTTGTCCAGGCTGGATTTGATTTAGCTCACTAGTTCAAGTGATTCTCCTACCCCAATACTAACAAATATTTTGGATTGAATGATAACATCCATCTTCCTGAATTAAGTGCTTTGTGTCTAAATTATGGATTTTCTATCAGTTTGTAGGCATATGTCATTCAGAACTCACTTCAGATATTATTATCCAAACTTCCCAAAATAGATACTGATCAATTCATGAGTTTATAAATAGATATTGTTTGACTAATATATATAAGCATCCCTAATTTAATACTTTCACAAAGGGTCAAGACCTAGACATACATTTCCATAGGTACATATGACATTTAAATATTTACCTAATGTTAATTGGTTTTTGCAGACCTGTATGATTTCAGGGCCCCTAGGTGTGTTTTTGCCACCCAAAATATTTATCTGGCTTGTTCTCTAATTCTCCACAGTTTTGGTTGTAGGGGGCAAAGCCTTAGAAGTAACACTGCAACTCAACTTCTCATCCATATATAAATAACTAATATAAAACTTGGAAAGTAGTTTCTGAGGAGACTGAAAGAGAAATCACTAGAGCAAGAAACAAGCCTCCCTATATCTCCAATAAGCTCAGTACTCAGTAAATTGCTTCCTCCTTCACATATAATAGGCAAGTCACCAGGAAAAACTATCAATGTTTCTCCTATTTAATTCAGTGATGGGGTCACTTAAAGACAACTCATCAATTGAAGTTCTCAATTTTTACTACATCAGTGAGGAACTACAAGCATACCATGAATTCCATTCCTTTCACTGAAAAAAAATGAAATACAAAGGTAAGGACAAATAAAAAGAAATTTCTTAATCCCCCACAAGCCATGGAAACCCAACAATTTGAATTATATAGGAACACAGTGGCTGAAGAGTTAGTAGTTAATTCTAATGTTCTGCTCTCAGTGAAAATGTGTATTTGTTTGTCCAGAAACCTATAAACAATCAAAATGTATTTACTTGAAGTATTGCATATATGGTAAGAAATATTCTAAGACTCGGTGTCGCTGTAAACTGTAATGTATTTTTAAATGTTGAGTGACTATAAGGGAAAGTGACTCAGAAGCTAAGAGAAGAGGAAGAGGAGAAAAGAGCAGAGGAAGTGGCCATTCCTAACTCTCATTTCTCTTCCTACACATTTACTAATAACAATATTGTTTTCCTTGCCCACCTCACATATTCTACTGTACATTGGTGATATGTGAGCTATACTTTGAAGAAACATTGTAGAAATTTGAAACTTGTTCTTGGTGAAACACAGAAATTGATTCCTGTATCTCCAGTTTGCAAGCCTTTCAATGTAATATGCTTTTCCTGCCCAGAGATGTGGTGTGACATGAGCTTCCTCAAGGAATTGGCTTTTGCTCTGGTTCACCTCCAAAAGCCTCAGCTCCTAGGCTGCTGCCCAGCAAATGATAAATAATTATAAATAGTAGCTGAAAATGAGCAAAAGAGTGAATATAGGCCTTCTTGAGAGTACTGGCACCTTCCTTCTTATATCAGAAACTAAGAAAAGTAAGAAGAATACCTGAAAGGTAGGATACTCACCAAACTTAGCCATACAGGACACTTTAGCAGTCTGCTGTGGAAGAAAAAGAATTTGATCAGCATGGTACCAGTGTCACCACTCTCTTGATTGATTTATGTACAGCCTCACATTCCTGAATCAAACTACCTTTCCATAGCTATAAAAAAGAAAACATTCCCTCCACCATGTATTCCTCTTTCAGCTTCCCTTTGCAGGTGGCTGACTACTTTTCATTACCTAGCTGTCCTTTCAGTTCTTTTTACAAAACTAGATCCTCATTCCATCCACCTACCCTCTACTCACGGGACAAATGTTGGATCTTAGTCTTCTCCCTCTTGGCTATGGAAATTTTCTATCAATAGCAGTCACCACACCCTAATGACCCACAAGATGATCTATTGACATGTGGGAAGAAAACAATGGAGCTTCTATTTATGTTTTGTCTTTATTTAAAATAATAAGAAATCAAGCTCTATAAATATTTTCAACTCAGGTTGATAAAGCCACCCTTACTTAATATGCAGGTAATCACATGTCATATACAGTAACTCAGATACTCTCAGAAATGAATCTGAGAGTTTCAAACTGCTGCAACACACTACAATTTACATGGTTAAATGATACCATCAATTGTGGTTAATTTTACAAATACAAGTATTTCAATACTAAAAGCTCTGAAACACTTTTTAGTAAGATAAAGCATAACCACAAAAAATGTTTGTACTTTAAGTTCATTTTTTTCTTTGGGCCAAAAGACTTTTTAAACTTAATGATTTGCATATTTTAAAGATTTTTCTCTGGCTGCTGTGCTAGAAATAAAGTAAAGGAGGCAATGGCAAAGCAGTGAGACAAAATACAAGATTGTTGTATTCATCCAGGCAAGAGAACACGGTGCCTCTGACCAAGGTGCAAGCAGTGGAGATGCTGATAAGCATTTGGACGAGAGGGCTTAGTGCAGTTCCCAACATGACTATGGGTGAGAGAGTTAGAAGCAACAAAGATGACCCCAAGATTGTGTGCTTGAGTGATGAGAAAGAGAAAGTTGTAAGTCACTGAACTGGCAAGATTTAAGAGGAATAAATTGAGAAGGGAACGATGAGTTTGGTTTTAGACACAATGTGATGTTTATTAGATATCCAAGTAAGGGTGTCAAATGCACAGTTAAATACATGAGGCTGAAATTTAGGGAGATCTGCAATACAAATTTAGCCAGTTTCAGGTTATTGCTTTAAGTCATGAAATTATATGAGACCATTAAGTGAGGGAATGGAGGCAGAGATGAATACTGGCGTACTGCAATGTTTAGATGACAGTGAATGGGGAAAAACTAAAAAAAGAAACTAAGAAGGAAAAGCCAATGAGTTTGAAAGGAGCTAGGAGAGTGTGGTATTTGGAGACCAAAGGCAGAAATTATTTTGCGAAGAGGAATGATCAGCTGGGGTGAAATGCTGCTGAACAATCAAAAAAGAAAGAACAGTAAATTTATTGGTGGATTTAGCAACATGATAGTCACTGGAGTTCTTGACAGAAGTAGTTTCTATGATGTGATAATGAGGGCAGAAGTATAATTAGAATGCATTTAGGGGGTAAATGGGAAAAAGAGAAACTGGAAGGGTTTTGCTTTAGGAAAAGTAGAAAAATTGAATGGAACCTGGTTTGGGATGAGAGCTCCAAGGGGTTGTTTTTTGGTTTTGGCTTTGGGTGTTTTTTTTTTAATGTAAGAGAAATAGTGGGAATATTTCAAAGAAATGAGGGAGAAGTGATAGGTAAGAGCTGGGAGAGAACAGTAGGAGCAATATCCTTGAGTAGATAGAAGAGGATAGGATTTACTACACAGGCTTCTAGGGTAGGTGCATAGCCAGTTCATACACAGAGGCAAGAGAGAACGCACACGTATGTGGACACAGACTCAGGCAAGTGGGAGATATGGGGACTTTGGATCTTTTTTTCCTCCCTGCTTCTATTTTTCTCTGGGAACCTGAAGGCAAAGTTATCAGTTGAAAAAGAGAATTGAATGTTTGAAGAGCAGCCGAAAGTATGAAATGTTCCAGTGGAGGAGAATGAAGGGATGAGGAAATATAGGCTGCTACCAGAGCAACACTGAAGGTACCACTTGAAGTTCAGGTCATAAATTTAATGTTAATACTTTTTTAAAAGATCTTGCATGTTTCTTCAGAAACATGGAACAGTTGGATTTAATCAGCATTAGAAGTTTTCCATGGTTGGGATTTTGCCATTAGCGTATAATGAAGAGAAAAGCAAGTAAGTAGGAAGTGTATGCAAGGGAGAGGTTATAATTACAGACTGGAATTTCATTATATGAGGAGGGAAAGGCATAGAGTGAGGGACAATGTTATTTTAGCTAAAAACTTCACATCAACAGATAATGGATTCAAAATTAAGTGTCATTATATTTTACAAACATAAAATGATTCATTCTATCATTTTGACCTATATCTCTTTGTGAAGTAATTATTCAGTTATAGTAAAAAAAACAAAGTAAATTAACTTAGCATATTAGCTTCACATTGCTGTATCACAAAATGTTAAACTAATAATAAAATGAGCACATTTATCAAATTACTAAAAAATTTCAATTATTTTAGTATCTTTGTATTACACATTAATATTTTATAGAATATAGAACATCTTGCTAAAAGCAAAAAAGCTTGACACTGAAAAAAGTGCATTAACATTATTTGGCTTATGCTTAGGAATTTTCATTTTATGTACAGTATGGAGTTAGTGTACAGTGTTAGTACTCTCATATAAAACATAATAATTACCATGCATATACTGTAAATTATAATGACAACATTTTATTGATAAGGAGGAACAGTCAAAAAAGCCTGAAAACCACAATTTTAAGACAAGAAATCACTGAATTCCCTGTCATTAATTTTTGCTCTTGCAATTATTTCATTTTCATTTTGGTGTTCTTAGGTGTTGAAATTCACTTTAGTTCAATCCTCAATAGGCATATGTAATGGGAACTTTCTTTTTATTTCCTGGGCTGGGAATAAAACCCAGGGCATTACAGATGTTAGACAAGCACTCCACAGCCCTAAATGTACTCCCTTACCCCCAATTTCTCGTCTATAAAATGACTGTAATTAATAGTACAAAGTTCTCATGGAAGCTTGTGGATGTTAATGAGATTATTCTTTTTGCAAAGGGCCTTCTCAGATATTCTGACTGAACCTGCTTAATAAATATTAACTGTTTTGATAATGATGCTAATTATAATGAACAATTGAACCTATATCCCAACACTATACTAGCATTGTAAGCAAGAAAGAAAAATTTAATGTGATTGTTGCTTCTCAAGAAATTTAAAATCTTTTTGAAAGACATCATTACATACATGAACCAATTAGGTAACAATTTAAATATGAATGCCAAAAAAATATGTGTCATAGATCTTGTGCCAGTTTCTATCAGATATAAAGAGCGTACAGAGAGATTGAAGGTCATAGACAAATTAATTGCCAGAACCAGAAATTCCAGATATGGTATTAAAGGCTGCTTTAATGTCTGTTGAGAACAATGATGTTTGTAATTATTGCCATAAGGGCAAATCTGAAAAATCATCAATTTGACCAAGAAGTATGATCATTGATTGAGAAGGAATATAGATGGGCAATGAAAATCCATACTGTTAAAAGGTCATGTTAAATTTATATTCCTTATAATATCATTAATAGTAATGGAGCAATATTAACTATTACCATCTACTTAAAGCCTACCAAGTGTCTAGTGTGTCAGGCACTGTACTGTATCATTAGTCCTTAAGACAACTCTGTAAGAATTAGGATGCTCATTTTGAAGATGAGGAAATGAGGATAAGAAGGAGTTAATAATCAGCCCAAGTTATGCAGCTGATAAAAGCCAAGGCTGAGGTCCAAAACCAGCCTGTCTTATTCACAACTCCAACTTTACCACTCAGTAAAGAAGTTGCTATTTATAATTCTGGTGATAGTTGGAAAGAATAAATATTCACTTATAAAGAAGCATATTGGACTTTCAGCTTGTTCAGTTTAGTTTAGTTTACAAAGAATATTTGTTCTTGTAACCTCACTTTGGTTTAAGACTTTGGCAACCTCACTTTGATATTATAGTTGGGCTCAAAATGGCCAAAATTTAATAATTCCTTCTTTAACCCTAATCAGATCATCATTAGAAATAAAATTTTCTCTTTCTTTAAGCGCAAGTAAAACTTCCCTTTTTGAAAGCATCCTTCATCTCACTGAAGCAGCAGACTTTCCTGAACATTCAGCTTCTTAGGGACAACTTCTGTAAGCTTATCCTCACTTAGGGACTGACCAAACTCCTTGAGTCCAAAGTCTGTCTTTTTTAGTTAAATGTCTTCTGGAGCAATAGAATAGAGAGAAAAAAACATTTTTTCCAAAGCAATTTTTGTTGTTCCAGAAGGAGCCATGCTTTCAATCTAACACTTTTTAAATTAATGTCTAGAGCATCTAGAAAGTAGGGCTTTGTAAGTAAAAACTAGAGTGGCGAACAAAATGAAACAAAACTTCCAGGTTTGTGAGCATCTTGAGAAGGTGGAAGTGGCTACTGCATAATGAATCACCATCCACCAACCACTCAATTCTTTTTTCCAAAGATTGTGGCCAACAGAGAAAGGGAAGTGCAGGTCAGTGCACGTGGGCTACAGGAGCTAACATCATTGCATTGTTAGCCAGGCCACTGGCTTTCCCACAGGAACAAATCTCCCAAGCATCCTGTCAAGAAAATACCAAAATACCTTTCATATTTCTCCAAATTTGACACAAACTCTGGGCTGTCTTCAGAGGCAGAACCTGTCCTTAAAAAGCTGCATGATTTTCAGGAAAGAGAATCCAGAATCACAGCTCCAAATGTGGGTTAACCAAGTTTGATTCTAGCAAACAGGTATCCTCCTCACCTAGTCATATAGAGGAGCTAATGATACATGCATTCTTCAGAGCCATCTGGCTCGTGAAACTTGAGATGTTTTTAGAAGGAAAAAGCACTTTGAAATTTGTTATTGCTATTCTCACCCTTCTTCTTCAAAACTAATCGCTCAGAAATTCTAACATTCCTTTCTTTCTGCTCAAATTTTACTGCTCCAGAAAGTTCACACTTCTGCTTGATATATCCCTTGACAGACCAGGGCTGTGATTAGAAATCCCAGTTTCACATTCTTGGTTACAGTTATGGTATACAAATTAATGTAAAAATTTGGCCAACATTATACCTACCCTAACTAAACTAGTATCACAGTGCACAAATTCCTCCTGCATCTTTTCTTTTGCTTTTCAGTATCTTAAGTGATAGAACCATATATTTGAAATCTTCCTTGGTCAATTCCCTTAGAAAAATGTTTCTGCAGTCACATCCCAACCCTTTCTTACATGGGCATATACCACCCACATTATTCTCCCCAGTGCTGAGTTTACAGCTGGACCCAGAAATGAAGTAACTCTTGAATTATATAATGTGTTTCTTGTTTTCTTTTGGGTTAGTGCTATGTAGTCAACAGAACTACTTTATCTACATTCCCAGTATACAATCCCATTCTGTAGGCCTATAACTTGGACTGCAGTTCAGTGGGAAATTCCTGATAAGCACCAGGGCTTCCCAAATAGACTTGTGCTTTCTTCTTCCTCCATGAAGCCTTCCTAGATCACTCTAGCCCAAAGTCGTTGTGCCTACTTTTGAATTCCTACATGTTATGTTCTATACCACTCTAAATTATCAATCACTGTATTTCAGAGCTAGCAAGCACCTTCCAATAAACAAGTCCATTCCCTACCACATTTCAGATGAAAATGCTGAAAACCAGCAAGATTAAATAGCTTTCTCAGACTTATACAGCTGGTTATTGGAAGACTTGGAATCCAAATCCAGATCTTGTTACTCCTAGTTCGGTGCCATTTCCCTGCTTAGAGATACACCTGACCAGTGATGGATTTAATCAAGTGATTTTCTCCAGTTAGCTCAGTTCTGCAGCTAGTATTTTACATTTTCCAATATCTTTTGTCTCCAAACACTTAAATAGCTTCAAAAGTCATGTCATGACAAGAATAAGATTCTATTTCCATTATTTGTACTCACAGATTTCTTCCTTCCAACTATCTCAAACAACCCTGAGTAACAGTGATAATAATTAGACTAACAAGTAAAAGATCTTAATAAATAACAACCTTAGGTTCTGTTACCTCCTTACCTTGAATGGGAAGAAAGTAAGAATTAGTGTACTGAAGAAGCAAAACAAAAGAACTATTGCTGAGCACAGCCATGGCTTCCAGGAGGATCTCTGTGCATCTTGAGACCTTGAGTGGTGTGGAGACACAGTCTCCATGTGGCTCAAACTCATTTTCTCTGAAGGAGTAAGAGTGGTTGACATCAGATACTCACAAGTGATGGGTGAAGGATGCAGTATCTGTTTTGTATTTAAGCATGTGGTAATTAGTGGTGGGTGTGGGAGGTGGAGTTTTTCCTTCTGACAGTGTTGGAAAAGGATACTTCTAGGCTAAGTGCTGACTCGCACATGGCACCAGGCCAAATTTCAAAAGGAATGGAAAGCATAAAGCCAACACAAACACACAGGAGGGAAAAAAACCACCAATACAAGGGAAGTTCAGCAGGAAAAAAAATTCTTTCCTAAAAATAGAAGGAGTACTTGTGTACAGTGAGCCCCAGGGAAGATATGATGGCCAGTGCTCATCTATGAAAGCACTCTGAATTATTTGCAACAAGAAAATTATTTTTCTATGAAGAAATAGTTTGAAATTAAGCCTTATAGCACTCCAGAAATTATGCATGTGTCAGGCAGTGTCGAAGAGCCAGTGAAGCAGGGACCCACGGTTTCAAAGATACTGTTAATGAAGTTAACAGTATCATGTTGTATACCTTATCTGTATACAATTTTTATTTGTCAAGTGTACCTCAATAAAGTTGGAGCCAGGAATGGTGGGACACACCTATAACCCCAGCATTCGAGCAGCTGAGCCAGAAAGATTGCCCTGAGTTCAAGGCCAGCCTGGGCTACATAGTGAGTTCAAGGCCAGCCTGAACTATGTAGTGAGACCCTGTCTCAAAAACAACCAACCAAACAAAAAGCCCCAACAACAATAAAGTTGGAAAAATCAAATCAAATCTATGGTTTTAAAAAAAACTTCATCAATTAAAATATATTTATTCTGAGATGGTCTCTAGAAAAAAACCAAATGTGTTACTTGGATTTAATAAAAATTATAAATACAACTAGCTCAATTTTCTTATATTTTACCTTTTAAATGCTGAAGCACTGATGTGACGTCAAACATAAAAGACTATTTTTCTCCCCCAGCCCCCAGCCTGAGCTCACACTCCATTGCATAAAAACATGGGTTTTGGTTCCTGGCATCCAAAGTGCTGATTTACTGTAAAATTGAGGAAGTCCTCTGATTCTCAGTACCTCAGTGTGTGTGTTAAACTTGAATACCTACCTTTTTAATAGACTGCCAGCATTACATGCTAGGAAGAGCCTGGGTTTTTAAATCAGATAGACCTGGGAGAGATGTCCAGTCTATCCAGCCCCTACCTGCTGTGTGGCTGCAGGCATGTTACTTGACTTCTCTGAGCCTCAGTTTTCTTAAGTGTAAAGCGGAGAACATTTCTACCAAGTAAATGTGAAAGAGTATCTTATAAGAGATGTACCATAAGAGTTTGTTTGTTTAAGTTTTCTCCAGCCTCTTTAGAAATGTGGTAAAGGTTAATTCAATTATGAAATCCTAGAAAAGAACAAACATTCGTTGTATTTCCCACAGAAAATAAGTCAACTAAAGTTCACTTAAATAAAAGAAGGTAAAACACAAATGTTGTGGAGAAAAATTTTTAATCTAAGAGAGAAACAAAAATTTCTAAAATTAGAATAAAAGAGATTGAACATCTTCATTTGTGAAAGAGGAAGCTAAGGATAAAAGAGACTGATGGCTGGTCAATGATGGAGTGGAAAATCTAAGCCCAGGGAAACTATTTTTTGACCCAACTATCCTGTTTTAGTATAAATCTATTTGCAGCAATATTTCTCACTTGAGAATTACAATTTTAACTTAACTGTATTTTCTCTTGATCACTAAACTAGCCCTGAAGTGATAATCACACAAGAAGAGTTTTCCAGCACAGCAAATATCTTTATAGCTCTGTATCAAATGCTATAAGTCAAAGATGAATAGCAAACTGGGTCTGGAAGAATGATGCTTTGATCCCTTAAGGCTTGCATGTGTATCATGTCTAGAATTCCTATACACAAATGTAGAATTTTAAATTGGCCCTTGAAAAGTTGAGGCATTTCCTTTTTGCTTTTCTGATTTGCTATTTCCTGTCTCTCCAAGTTTTAGATGGAGGTGCTCCTGCTTACTCACTTCTGTAAATATTTGTTCACAGGAGAAACTGTCCCAAATGAAACCAGTTTTTCCTTCTGCCCTTAACCAGGATTGGCTCTGGAATATCCTACCTAATTATTTTAACCTTCTGACAGTATCTGAAGAAAGGTGATACACTTATCTCAAGAAAACTACATTTTAGGGCTAGTTTTCGTTAATCAAGACCAGAAATGGAGAAACTTCCAGTTGGGACAGGTGAGGGTAAGGAAGATTTTTCTTAAATTCTAGGAGAATGAGTCATAATTGGCACCTCTCAGTGTAAGCTGTGGGAATACACATGTTATCTCAGGATTTGACAAGAGGTAAATGAGAACCAAACCCGAACTTTTGTATTTATGACCTGTCCTGGATCAGATACTTGGGAATTATATTTTTAAAAATTAATTCCAACTGGAAAATTTATTCTGAACCTTTACTGTCTGACCACTATTGTTCTGGGAGCTTGAGGGTATTCAAAAATTACAACTGCCAAGGAATCAGTCATCCCAGTCGACTGAAACCTTACACAGAGAGAGACAGATGCCCAAATGAATATCACATATAGGATAGTGCTTCAGAAAACAGAAAAAGGCAAGATAAGCTGAAATAATTGGAAGGATAGGTTAGAAATGGATTGTTTGAGAGAAAAAAAAAGAGGATACTATTTCTTAAAGGAGCGATAAAATTTAAGGAATAAACATTCAGAGATATAAACACCTGTAAATGTTAGAAAAGAAAAATAAGAATGTAAACAATAACCCCAAACCCTCAATGTTTTCTGGTCCAAGGATGGAGCCCAGGACCTTGTTCATACCAGACAAGCATTCTACCACTAAACTATGTCCCTAGACTAGTAATTTTCATTCAAGAATGAAAAGTGAGGAATTTCAGAAAAACTAGTAAAAGAAATTCTGTATTACTATTTTTAAAAGGATCCAAGATATGCTTGATTAAGCAAATCTAACTATAAAAATGGCTGCTTGGAATTTAGAATGAATTAGTTTTATAGTAACTTGGTTAGTTCAATTATTGATTAAATTATACTAAAGCTCATGAGGGACCTGTGGGCCATCACTGTGTACAAACATTACAGTTGAACATCAAGTGGCCGTGTATTGACATTTCCCTCTATGCACACCTGTAATCCCCACATTTGGGAGGCTGAGGCAGGAGGATTCCTGTTCATTTGAGGCCAGCCTGGACTACATAGTGAGTTCAAGGCCAGCCTGATCTACATAGCAAGACCCTGTCTTGAAATAAATAAATAAATAAATAAATAAATAGCTAGCTAGCTATTTCTCGGGAGGATGAATCACTTGTCCATAGAGGTAGAGAAGGGATGGACTCCTCTTCTTTTAGACTTTCAAACTCTTTATGCTCCAATATATTAGGTAGATCCTATATGGAGTAAACAGAGTAGAAAATGGAAGAGAACATTGAATAGGTATCAGTTTCCTCCAAAACCCTGCTTTGCTCTGTCTGCACTGCTTGCCATGTGTCCCTTATACAACTATTTATCATGATTTTATTCTTGTGATAGTGTACAGTGTCCCAGGTTCAGTCAAAATACCCAATGAGTTAGAATTCAGTGAGGAATGATACACGTCATTTTGCTTACTCTAGATATCAAAATATTTACTGTCACGACAAATAAGACTCTTGGTCTGAAGACACATAGGTAGATAGATACAGTAAAATAGATGAGAGTGAAAGAGAGAGAAAAAGTAGACATGATAACATAAGTAGGGTTTTAATCTTGGAATTTTATGAAGACAACAGTAGTAATTGTTACAATTACTAAATGTCTACACTGTAAAAAATTCCGTATAGCTCACTATACAGAAGTGATCACATGTGTATATCTATATATAGAACTATGTAAATGTCTGTAAATGCATACATACATAAGTATGTGTATATTCTAAGTAAGTAAACTCTAAAAGATATAAAGGAACTTCTCATATCAATCTCCAGATTATCCTCTCCAAAGAACTAGTAACAGCCCTAATCAGGGTGGTCTAGGAATTATTTTTAATTCACACTATGTTTTTTTTGCTTGTTTGGTTTTGGTACCGGGGATCAAACTCAGATCCTTGCACTTGTGAGGCAGGCGGCAGCACCACTGAGCTAAATCCCCGGCCCACATTCACACTATGTTTTCAGTTTACAACATGGAGACCTTCTTCTTCTGTACCTCATACTGGCTTGCTCTGGACTGTTTTTGCACGTCAAGTGTTCTGTGAACTCTTAGCAAATTCTTTATTGTTTGTTTGTGTTTTACTGGCTCAAGTACAGCCTTTAAATAACAAGTCTACTGCCAGCTTCCATGGAAGCATTTCTGCACTAGCCATCTGTCTTACTACTCATCTTTTAGAAAGGCTGAGGGTATTGTAGGTACCTGTCTCCCTAGCCTGAGTCCTCTGTGTCAGGGATACATTGTGTTTTGGGAAGCTTGTGAGTATGTGTCTTCTCTAGACTAGTTAGCATTGATCAGTATCCTGGCCATGAGAGGAGCACCTTAAAGACCTTTTGATGACAAATGTGACTTTCTGCTTGGAATATTTACTGAAAATATGTTTTCCCTTGTGCAATAGGCATGATACTACCTATTGGAAACTATCAAACATCACCTTAGGAGCTATGATGAATAGGCATTGCTGTTAAATCTTGCCCAATTTCACACAGATTGCCAGTGAATTATGTATTTTACCTGTCAACCAAGTTTAAATAGAAAGGCCTTAAGACTCCTGAGGCAAACTATTCTCCCCAAATTTCCTGGATTTCCTTGTGCAGTTCTTGAAAAGCGGGTTTGGGGGAAGTATTTTCTTTTGACTTTTCTATTTGGTTTTCTGGTTTGGCAAAATCCTAGAATTTTCTGCTTCGAATTACTATATTACATTTCCGGTGGAGAACAATCAGCACTTTCACTGATTTCAAGACCCAGCTCTGGCATGTGTTCATATAGAAACCTACAAGACACTTTCTCGTCTGATTTTCCACTTTTAGCTCTGACCCTACACTGTTC